CAGTGGGAAACAGTCCAAGACTTCATATAGGAGGGCCTCAAACGGAGAGGACATCATGTTCCTAGTAAAGGTATAAAAAAATACAGAGAGTTTAATAGTATAAGGCCTGATTTCAGACCTGGGCTTGAAGCCCAGATTTAATAGAAATGTGCCATAAACTCAGTATTTAATCAACTGTAACGATATCCCTTTACATTTCTAAAATATGTGCAGTGATTAAACGCCCCATCACTTGCCTGAAGTAGAATCCCCATCTGGTCTCCCTACCTCCATCTCAGAACCTTCCGCTTCTTCGTGCGTTTACTGCCAGAGTGGTGCATGGAGGACCTCATGGTCACCTCCCACCCCTCCTGAGCCCTCCCTCACTGCCTCTGAGCGCAGAGGAAAGGAGGCCCAGGGCAGCCCCCAAGCTCCTCGAATGCTAGAGTTTTACATCAACAGTTCGTCAATGTTTGCATTTTGTTCTATAGTACTTCTGTGTTAATTTTACTGTTATTGTTGTTAGGTGCTATGGAGTCGATTCTGACTCCTAGCAACCTCGTGTGACAGAGTAAAACTGCCCCATAGGGTTTCCTAGGCTGTAATCTTTACGGGAGCAGATTGCCAGGTCTTTCTCCCGTGGAGCCACTGGGTAGGTTCAAACTGCCAACCTCTCCTTTAGCAGCCGAGCTGTTTACCAACTATTTGCAAACGCATCTTCTTTCAGTTCTGTTACCTCTTCTTTTCCTCCTTGCCTTTGGGCTTGCCCGAGTGCCTCAGTTTCCCCGTTTACTTGCTCCCTGAGGCCTGTTGTGGTTTCCTCCTGGCGCTAAAAGAGCGAGGGTAGGAAACTGATTTTCCAGCAGAAGAGAGAAACCACGTACTACTTGAATCAGGGAACTGTGGTATAAATAATTATAATGTAAATTATAATGAGAGATTGACATAACAAGGGAATAAAAACCAAACCCACTGCCATCAAGTCCATTCTGACTCCTAGCGACTCTGTAGGACAGAATAGACCTGCCCCATGGGGTTTCCAGGGCTGTAACCTTACAACATGTTATCAGGAGAAACCAGTCCCTGGAGAAGGGCATCATGCCTGGTAAAGTAGAGGGTCAGCAAAAAAGAGGAAGATCCTCGACGAGATGGACTGACACAGTGGCTGCAACAGTGGGCTCAAGCATGACAAGGATGGTGAGGACGGCGCAGGACCCGGCAGCATTTCCTTCTGTGGTTCAAGGGGTGGCTATGAGTCTGAACTGACTCGATGGCACCTAACAACGATGACAACAACAATCTTTATGGGAGCAGAGCAACGGTCCTTCTCCTGCGGTGCGACTGGTGGGTTCGAACTGCAGGCCTTTTGGTTAACAGCCGAGTGCTTAACAGCTGTGCAGCCCGGACTCCTTACCAAGGGAATGGCCGCATGGAATAAAGAAAACGCTAAAGAATCTAACTAGTAATCAGTTGCCGTCAAGTCAGCCCCAGTTCACGGCCACCCTGTGTGTGTCAGAGTAGAAATGTGCTCCCTAGGGTTTGCAGTGGCTGATTTGGGGGAAGTAGATTGCCAGGCCTTTGTTTGAGGCACCTCCGGGTGAATGCAGACTTCCAGCCTCTCAGTTAGGAATCAAGCATGCTAACCTTTTGCTCCACCCGGGGACTCCTAATAGCAAATATAAGGAACAGCCCTGCCCTTACTGCTGAGTCAGAGGAGCAATGAAGTGGGAGCAAGGCCACAGCCACTGAAGGGCAGAGAAGTCACCCTGTGCCACGCAGGGAGCGCGGGACCTCTGTCCTCTGGAATTGCCGGAGATCCCCCCGCCAGGGCGCTGGTGAGGCTGTTCACGGCAGGTGTCTCTCCAGAGGCAGTCCGCTCCAAAACCGCCCGGGGCACGGGGTACTGAGACAACCGCTGCTCCCTGGGTGCTGCTGGCCATGGGGTGCTGCAGAACTGGGCACCAGAGGGGCCCCGTGCTCCACGGGGGCCGGGAACCGGCGAGGGCCTGGGCGCTGCGGGGGCCGGGAACCGGCGAGAGCCCTGAGCGCCACAGGGGCCTCCAGAGCCAGCGCACCAGGATCTGGAGGGCAAGCCCTTTCCTTCGCGTTGTCTGCTCAGCATCCTCTCCTGGCAAAGCTCAGCATCCCACCAGCCAGCCAAGGAAAAGTGTCTAAAGGACCCAGGTTCGCTTTTGCAGAGCAAGCAGCTGAGGGAGAATGTGGAGCTGATAACACACAACTGATTTTGGGTGCAGTTAAACAGCTTGACCTGGAGCGCTTAAGCAGGCAGACCGACTGCTGTGTGTGTGTGCCTATGAGTGTGTGTGTGAGTGTGTGTGTGCCTCCTGCCTACTCTAGTGAACTGTAACGTGCTTAGTGCAAGTCTGCTCCATCAGATACTTATGACACCATGGTTCCCACAGAGAACAAGTAATAATGTGAGTGTGTGTGTGAGCGTGTGTGTCTGCATCTGAATGTGTGTGCGTGTGTGAGTGTGTGTGCCTGAGTGTGTGTGTGTGCCTGAGTGTGTGTGTGCCTGAGAGTGTGTGTGTGTGCCTGAGTGTGTGTCTGTGTGTGTGTATGTGTGTGTGCCTGAGTGTGAGTGTGCATGTGCGTGTGTGTGTGTGACTGTGTGTGTGTGCCTATGTGTCCCTGAGTGTGTGTGACTGTGTGTGCCTGAGTGTGTGTGCATGTGTGTGTGAGCATGTGTCTGCATCTGAATGTGTGTGTACGTGTGTGTGCATGTGACTGTGTGTGTGTGACTGTGTGCGTGTATGTGCGTGTGTGACTGTGTGTGTGTGCCTGAGTGTGTGTGTCCCTGAGTATGTGTGACTGTGTGTGTGCCTGAGTGTGTGTGCATATGAGTGTGTGTGTGACTGTGTGTGTGTGTGCCTGAGTGTGAGTGTGCATGTGTGTGTGAGCGTGTGTCTGCATCTGAATGTGTGTGTACGTGTGTGTGTGCATGTGACTGTGTGTGTGAGTGTGACTGTGTGAGTGTGTGCGTGTATGTGAGTGTGTACATGTGTATGCATGTACATGAAGGTGTGTGTGTACGTGTGTGTGTATATATGAGTGTGTGCATGTGTGTGTGTGAGGTATAGCGATAGACGTGCAGATCTGTCCTCACACCCTTCTTGCACACCCGTGTTGGTGGAAGGGTGCCCACACCCATTTTGTGGGAAGAGATGTCCTTTCCTGAGATTACACTCATTTGATTGTTGGGGTTTCCAAATGGCCTTAGTAATTTTATTTTTTGGTGAAATAACGGTCATAGTAGAAAGTAGTTTTTGTTACTGTGGTTATTTGTCCTAAGAGTTTTCCTACTGGACAAAATAAAAAGTTAGCAAGCCTGTATTGGTTCCCTTCCTCCCCCTTTTAAGCTGTACTTGTCATGAAACTCAAATCTGGGAATCATTGCACTCAATTAAGAATTGATAATTAGAACTCGTGGCAAGCCACTATACCATAACTTTTTTGAGAAATGTATATGAAGGAGTTTTGCATTTATAACTGTCACATCATGCTCAGTAGCACAGACGTCTCAACTTAGGAACAGAACTTAAGTGATAGCTAGTGCTGCATCCCTTATATTCCTTGTCTCTGTGTAAAAGAGTCAGTAATAAGTATTATTATCACCATTTCTCAGATGACGAAAATCAGATGGAGTCCATTCTTCCGAGGTCCCATATCTGGTAATAGCAGAGCAAAGATTTCAATAAGAGTCAGGCTGGCTCCAAAAAGTTTCAAGATTGAAACACAGGTCTGCCTGCCCCTAAAACATTCCAGTATCTTTAAAAATAAAAAAATTAAAAAAAAATTAAAAAAAAATTAAAAGATTAGAAAGTGGAATTTTTAAAAATAAAAACCAAAAGATTCTATTATCACTCTAGAGTAAGAAAAAGTGCAAAGGGACTTCATAACTTGTTTTCGAAGGTTAAGGAATACCGCGGATGTAAAACTCAATAACTGGTTTCCGTGCGGTCACCGCGAACGTAGCTGATACAGAGTATACCAAGGCAAGCGGAGACTGTGTCTGTGTATGTTTAACAGACGCTAGTGTATCGGGAAGGAATACACGTGCTGCCACTCAGCGAGGCTCCTTTCCCGTACAAGTGCAGATACACGTGGTTGCTGGGATCGTTTCAGCTCTTCAGTGTTAGGACCAGCCTGGCTGCAGCTGCCTCGCCCCCCGCCACGGTTAGCCAACACTGCGGTAGTGGCAGCGGTCACATCTTGTCGAGCGAGGAGGGGAGAGGGTGTGCCAGCCACACATGACTCACGTCATCGGCTTTCCTGAAACGCCCCCAGCTGACTTTGGCTTTGTTCTTGTTAGCCAGAGCTGGGTCCGATGTCCTCTTCCCCCATCTGCAAGGGCATCTGGGAAAACGGAGCAGCATCAGCGAGGATCAGCCAGACTCACCAGCTTCAGCCTGCCCTGTTGTAATAAAGTTTTGTCCATTCACTTATGCTCTGTCCACGACCCCTTTCGTTCTGCAGTGACAAAGCTGAGCCCTTGTGACAGTGACCATTTAGCCTAAAAATAGTTATTATCTGACCTTTTATAGAAAAAGCTTGCTGACCCCTGGCTTAGACAAATCATGCTCCATTGCCCGGGGTTGACCACACAGGCACCCTGAGGATAACTGGGATTTCATTCAGCAAGGAAGAAGGGGAGAATGGTATTGGAAAGAGCCACCTGTTATGTCCCAGGTGGCCACCTGGTCCACCGAATTCCATCCAAGACCTAAAAGTTATCATACACTTTGAAGTCACTGGGTCATCTTGAACAGGTGACTCTCTGCTCCTTCATTTCCTCCTGAGCTAACTGAGAACATTTAGAAAGGCAGAAAATTTGCAAATATACAGTATCAAATGATTGGCAATGTCGTGAGAAATCAAGAATTCAGGAAGATAATCCCTAATTTGCTGACTTTTACTCAGCACTGTCTGAGGTACTGTCAGAGTCAGTTGTGGATATGTGTTTTACTGATTGGCACATCCCTCTGTACTGTTTATTTTAGGTTCTTGCATACACCGAGGGACTTCATGGAAAATGGATGTTCAGCGAAATACGAGCTGTATTTTCCCGACGTTATCTTCTACAAAACACTGCTTTGGAAGTATTTATGGCAAACCGAAGTAAGCTCCCTTAAATATTTTGAGAGAAAATGTCTTCATATTTAGATGTTATTCATTTACTTAGCATGATACTGTCTTGGTATTTCCTCTCCGTATTTCTCTCTTTGATCCGCCCTCACTGACACATAAAAAAAAAAAAAAAAAAAAAAGAATTTGTTTGAAAATGTTAGCCCTATATTTCTCATGGATAAAGTTATACAGAAAGCTGATTTTCCAAGAAGATGCCTTACCTTTACAAATAAATTATGATAGACACTTGAAAATGATTTCTGAAATTCATAGTTAGCTCTCCTGTGGTTTTCTAAATCCTGTTTCTTCTTCTTACCACAGCCTCCGTTATGTTTAATTTCCCTGATCAAGCAACAGTAAAGAAAGTTGTGTACAGCTTGCCTCGGGTTGGAGTCGGGACCAGCTATGGTTTGCCACAAGCCAGGTAATTATATAATATTACACATTATCAATGGTTTGTTAACATTTCAATCTCAACATGACAGAAGTATAAATGTGGTTATGCCATTATGAGTAGTTCAAGGGCCGAGAAGTTTTCTTTCTCAGCAGATCATTTGTAGGGAAGTAGATTATGAAAAACAGCTATTTTTAAAATGACAGAATGATCAGGGCATAATTTTATTTAACATTCTACAGCATCTGTGTAAGTGTGTAAGTAAAAAAGACGAGCCCCGTACCATAGCTGTCACGTAATTAAAACATTTTTGGTTGTTAAGATGTTACAAGAAACATACTAACAACTTCAAGATCTCTGTGACCACTTGCTGTGTGACAGCATATAGTTTGTTTCCATAAATGCTATGTATAACTACTTCTTCATTAAAATAATACGACTCTTAGAGTTTATTGAAATTAAAGATCATTAATTATGGTGTAGTTTTAACCATTTCCCAAACCTTTTCTCTTGGTATTTTAAAAGTATCATTTTGAAGTATTATCTTATTGAATGATACTAGTCTAAGTAGAAAGCGTAGTGAGTAACTGTAGGATCGCTAATACCGATAGTCTGCTTCAACAGTAAGGTCCTGTTGTGTGTGGTTTGGTTTAACATGAAAGGTGTGGAGTGAGGGAGTTGCTGGTGTAGGTTCAGAGCTTCAGGGACATAGGACGCTCACTTGGCTCATGTTCACAGAATACCCGTGACTGCTACAGATACCACATCTTCCCCCAATTTCATCAAAGCAGAAAGAAGACAGAAAGGATGTCTCCTGGGTCTTCTTGGTTTTAGGAAGGACTAAAGGAGCCCTGGTGGTGCAACAGTTAAGTGCTCAGCTGCTAATCAAGAGATTGGCAGTTCCAACCCACCTAGTGGCTCCACAGGAGAAAGACCTCGTAATCTGCTCCCGTAAAGATTACAACCTAGGAAACCCTATGGGGCAGCTCTGCTCTAACACATGGGGCCACCATGAGTTGGAATTGACGGCAACGGGCTTGGGTATTTTTGATTTAATGGCACACAGGAGTCCCTGGTGGGGACATTCAGCCATTAACCGAAAGTTCTATGGTTCGAACCCACCCAGCAACTCCACAGGAGGAAGACCTGGTGATCTGCTCCCATAATGATTACATCCTAGGAAACCCTATGGCACAGTTCTAGTCTGTCACATGGGGTCACTATGAGTTGAAATCGACTCGGGAGCACCCAACAGCAGCAACACATTTCTCAGAAGCCTCCAGCAATCTTTATCTTAGGTCCCTTTGGCCAGAACAGGGCCCCCTTACCACCCTTGAAACAGTCATTGCCACGGGCAGTGCATACATTGGCTTAGCCCAATCTGCCCCTCAAGTTCAGGGAAGACCGTACCTCTGAGCTCCTTGCCACCTCCCACCTAAACAAAACATGCTTTCTGTTTACAGGGAAGAAAGAAAACAGCTTTGAGTAGACCAGGAACAGTGTCTACCACATAGATGTTTATGCCCCTCAGGATTATCACAGAGCAGTGCACGAATGGAAGGAAAACTAATCTTTGTCCATCTTCCCTTAAATAGGCTATAGGCGCTTTAAAGACAGGGACTTGTCTTATTTATCTTTTAATCTGCAGCACCTAGCACAGTGCCTAATTGCAGAAGTGCTGTTTAAGTGCTGTTCAGTGGAAGTCACCAGGCATTGCGACACATCACTTCTCTTTAAGCCCACAGGGTAAGACCAAGTCACTCGCATGTGTGGCGCGTGTTCTGGAGACTTGCTAGTTCAATGCCGAGACTCAGTGAAGACGTTATTACATAATGAAGCACTTGTAGAAAATAGAGGTCAAAGGAAAATGCATTTAATTTATTAAAACAGAAATGAAATTAGTTTTGCAGGGCTTGGTCTGCTTGAATCTAAGCTGATTCATAGCAGTCACCACTTCCTTTCCCAAGTGCTTACAAACTATTTTGTTTAACCATCAGTTCAAGAATTTTCCAGGAATTGGCGTTAAGAACTGACATATATGTGTCACTTGGAATCTAACTTTCTCCTTTTTAGACATAATCTCCAGCCTCTGGCATCTTTCTCGGTGACCACCGTTTCTCGTGGATTACCAGCAGGGGTGTCTTGATGACACGCGTCATGTCCGCCCATGCTCTTGGGCTTGCCTGGACCTGGATTCCTGTGAAGCGCTCAAGGCTCTTTCTCTGTCCTCCTGACCTGCTATGAGCATCGTTTCCCTTTAATCACATTTGGTGCCTCCTTGACTTTTGGAAGCTCATTCTTCTTGACAGAAAATCTGGAAGCAAATAGACCTGGTTTCTCCATCACTTCATGAAGCCGTTGTATCTTAAAACACTCTTCTGTTGTTCTTGGTGTGTTTCCCCCAGAGACTCAGCTCAGTCTTAGGTGCTTAATAATATTCCCAGAGGCTCCGTTTTGTGTAGTTCCTGACATATCTCACCTTAGAAGTAGCAGATGGAGGTTGAGGAAAACACTGTCCAGGCTTAGACCCGCCGCTTACGAGCTGGGGAACAGTCACAGGGCCTGGCACGGAGGTTCTCAGTAAGTACTGATGGCAACAGTCAATGACGCAGGCGAGAGGATGACACTCTCCTCTGCTGTCAAATGCAGAGACATTCTGAGAATCTCTTTCAACATGTAAAGCACCTTGACACACACGTACTGTGCACACACACACGTACTGTGCACACACACACGTACTGTGCACACACACACATGCATGCACACACACAGATAGATGATTGATCGATACGTAGACAGACAGACAGACACAGATCTGCAGACGTACATATGTGTGATATGTAAGATCTTGTTACATTTAGAGAGTTTTCAAAGGGAAGATGTGTGGATCCTACAAATAGAAGCCTTCCAGTGGAGAGTACCTTAGAATGACCGAAGTCTAGGGATCCATTTCTTGCTTTGCTTTCTTGACATTGGGATTTATCAGTTTAAGCAGAGTTTATCAAACTCTAAGGAACTTTCTTCTAAGCTAAGCCCATAAGAGACTGATTTATACATGAATATGCTAATTTACCAAATTCAAAGGCAGATATATCTGCCAGAATCATTGATTTCGCAAATCATTTAGGTCACTTCTTAGTCAAGCCCACCAAGGAGATCACATTATAAATCAGATTACTGCTTAATGAGCAGAAGTTTAGAACAAAGGGAATATTTCCATTCAGCTAGCATAGCCTGATGAATGCCCTTTTAGTTAATTAGTATTAGTAGCTAACATTTTCTGAGCACATGCCAGGGACTGTGCTTGGTGTTTGCATTTCTAAGTATTATTGCCTTTCATCCTTAAAACAATGGAACTCTTATCCCATTTTGCAGATAGGAAATGTGTTATTTAGATGAGTCACTCAGCTTACTCAAGATGGTAGCCTCTCTCCAGGTCCCTGTTCTGGGTGCTGTGTGACTCACGTGGGTTCTGAGTACAACGCCTGCACAGCAATGAAAATGTACCGTCCAGCACTTCCCGTTTTCTAGACTCCATACCGGTTACCATGTTTTGGTTAATGTGTTTTCTATTCAGTCAGTACAGTCAATCCATTCTGCATTTGGTTAGCTTCTTCACTTTCATTTCATTCCCAAGGACGCACCCTGGTTGTCTTCATAGGATTGATTATTTGAAATGGTCATCATTTGTTATACTTAATACTTTTTATTTCAGAGGACAGTTTTTGCCTTCATCTTATCACCAATTCCAAAAGCATCCTGCTATAGCCCAAATATGTACAACAACCCTCATTGCTTGCTGAAAATGAAGAGGACTTGAAGCACTTACTGATGAAGATCAAAGACCACAGCCTTCAGTATGGATTACACCTCGACATAAAGACAACAGAAGTCCTCACTACTGAACCAGTAAACAACATCATGATAAATGAAGAAAAGATTGAAGTTGTCAAGGATTTCGGTTTACTCAGATCCACAACCAACGCCCATGGAAGCAATGTACTGTGTTCGGCAAATCTGCTGCAAAAGACCTGTTTAAAGTGTTGAAAAGCAAAGATGTCACTTTGAGGACTAAGTTGCCTTGACCCAAGTCATGGTATTTTCAGTCGCCTCGTATGAATGCAAAAGCTGGACAATGAATAAGGAAGACAGAAGAAGAATTGATGTCTTTGAATTATGGTGTAGGCAAAGAATATTGAATATCCCGTGGACTGCCAAGAGAACAAACAAGTCTGTCTTGGAACAAATTCACCCAGAGTGCTCCTTGGAAGCGAGGACGATGAGACTTTGTCTCACATACTTTGGACATGTTATCAGGAGGAATCAGTCCCTGGAAAAGATCATCATGCTTGGTAAAGTACAGGGTCAGCGAAAAAGAGGAAGACCCTCAACGAGATGGATTGACACAGTGGCTGCAACAACGGGCTCAGGCACAGCAATGTTTGTGAGGATGGCGCAGGACCAGGCAGGGTTTGGTTCTGTTCTGCGTGGGTTCCCTATGAGTCGGACCCGACTCGATGGCACCTAACAACAACACAACTGTATATATATGTATCTGTAAATGTGTTATACCGTTGAATTGAATGAACAATTACACGCATGTGGTTCTTTTGGAGTTAGTAGAAACTATTATCTTAAATGTGTTTAACTAAGAAAAGTGCTTCAAAATTTTTAATATGTGAACAGGCTGCTATAATTTATTAAATGAATATTTTAAACATTGAGTTACATATGATTATCCTTAAAATTCTTAATTTATATTTGAATTTGAGATAACATGGGTTCCTTCCCATCCTCCCTTCCTCGCTCACTTCCTTCAACGAAACTATATGCTAGCTCCTACTATGTGCAAGACAATGCCTAGTAAGTTTCCACGTGAATAGAAATATTTGATAATAAATCTGTGCGTGGCAAAAATCGTCATAAGTCCATGGTTCCAAACTGTGCGCCCAGAGTCCCTAATATGTTTGCGTTCATCATCCAGTGAACTTATATGGTGCTGCAAGATATTTTATATGTATAGATATCTGCAAGATAGCTTACATATATATTATACACATGGATATATTTTGTTTGGACTCATGGGTACTTTTTTTATTGTTACTTTTTCTGTTGCTCTGATTGTTCCAGCGTTGGCCATTAGGAGCCGTTTGTTGGCTCCAGTGTCCCTTTCACATGTCCCTCATGTCCCCACCTCCCCCACTTTTTTTTTCTTAAAGAAATTCCTTACTTTCTGGCACCACCAGATGCTCCAGGCTCATCTTGTATTTTCCCTCCCCCATTGATTGTTTTTTTAAATTAATTTTATTTTTGGTGAAAGAATATTTTATATTTTTGAGGGAAACACCGTGACATCTGTCAGACACTGCGCAAACTATTAGCTCGAGTTAGTTTGAAGCTTCAACATCGGTAGTGCTACGTTCCTTTCAATAACATCTTATCTTTGTGAAAGTGGTATTGCCTGAAAAATCAGTGTAGAACAGGAAATGAGGGTGGTGGTTTCAGATGCGGTTCCAAGGTTTGAGGCACATACATCCCATTGGTAAGCAATCATGGTTATTTAAGAATGAAATAAAAATTTACTTTTTCTTTCAGTTTCTGAGTATTTACACTTTCACATAGCTACTAAGTCCTCAAGACATAAGTATTTATTAAGTCATTGGCGCTAACTACTTAATAAACAGAACTGTTGGATATTTCCAATGGGCTAGGAGCACCATGAAAAAATTACTGAAATACTAAGGGTGCTGTGAGTCAAAAAAGTTTGGTAACCTCTATCTTAAGTAGTGATTTTTTTAGACACTCAGTAGCCTTATCTTACTTTTACAAATATAACCAGCTTTCATTACTTTTTAGATAAACACGTTGGGCCTCAAAAGTTGCACGGTTTCCACAAATCCTCCTAGTTTAATCCCTTAAGCTCTTCCTGTGTCCTTTTCTTCTTCTGAACCTGCACATTTTTTTCAAAGTCCCCAGGTGGTTGTTGGGTTTTTTGTATTTGGTTTTGTCTCCCGTCACTAGAGGCGTGTTTGTGTCGTGCAGGTAGAGGCTGTGCTCGTGTGTGTGCACACGTTGTGTGAGGGCAAAAACCCGCTGCCGTCAAGTCAATAACCACTCATAGCGACCCTATAGGACGGAGTAGAACTGCTGCATAGGGTTTCCTAGGCTGTGACCTTTATGGAAGCAGATCACCAGGTCTTTCTCCCACACAGCTGACCTTCCAGTTAGCAGCCGAGCGCTTAACCATTAGGCTACAAGGGCTCCTTCTTGTCTCAGTGCTCTTGTTGTTGGGTACCTGCAAGTCAATTCTGACTCATAGGGACCCCATGGGACAGACTGAACTGCCCCAAGGGTTTCTTAGGTTGTAATCTTTAGGGTAACAGATCGCCAGGTCTTTCTCCTGCGGAGCAGCTGTTGGGTTCAGACTGCTGACCTTTAAGTTAGCAGCCGAGTGCTTAACCACTGCACCACCAGGGCTCCTTATTTCACTTTGAGTAGCTGGCAGTGCTTGGAGTTCCTGGACGTTGTGTGTGGACGCAGGTGTAAAAACTTCAGTAGTGGCCATTATTATAGAAGGTTAAGTCAAACGTTTGTAGTTTGGTAGCTGACTACCTGCCTAGCTTACGTATTAGCGTGAGGTAGATTTGCCATATTGTTTAAAACCTACCTTGACTTATTGTGAGTATAGTTTTACCCTTTTTTGTTCTTGTTACCTTGTAAAATACCCATTTGCAGCCATGTCATACAGAATAGAGTTCCTTTCAAATTCGTTCATCCTGAGTCATTAAGTGTATCTTCACTATTAGAAAATTTTCAGATATTGGTAACATCTATAATTAAAACACATTTTATAATTTATGTAAGAAGGATGAATCATAAACTATTTTAGAGTGAATTACTTCAAGCCAATGTATTGGTTAATAGTGGATTTTTAAAGTCATGACTTTAAAGCGACCGTGTTTTTTGTGGTGTGCTTCATCGCTAGGAGGATATCGTTGGCCACTCCCCGACAGCTCTATAAATCTTCCAACATGACTCAGCGTTGGCAAAGAAGGGAAATTTCCAACTTTGAATATCTGATGTTTCTCAATACCATAGCAGGTAAGACAACTCATTCTTTAATCTCGTAATACGTTTATGTTCATCAAAACCGTTAGTAATATGACTTGATAGAATACATTTTTTCTCTTTGGAATCCAAACACAGCATTAGAATAAATACGGAAGCACTCACGTTAAATCTCATCAGGAATGTACGTGCTCGTACCAAGGTTTTAGATGCGTTTATTGTTGAAAAGGCTTTCCTTGCGCTCCTGCCATTTCCTCTGCTGACAGCTTTGTCTGAAGGTGTGTTAGAGGCAACAAACCATTGCCAGAGAGTGTCTGGAAATAATAACGGGAAAATGTAATTTCACTACTTCGTCGTTCTCAGCGATCGCACCTAGACAGGAGAAAAACACCACACTCTGCCTAGGACACATGTCACCTGGATTATGGCATGATTGGGTTACAGCATCTTTTTTTCCTTAAAATCTTCAAATAAATATACAAAATGAGATTACATTTTCTAAATGATGAGTACCTGCCATCAGCCTCAGCAGCACCATGCTTGTAAATTTAAACAAAAAGGTAGTGGCTTTGTTTTTCTGCTAAATCAATGGCTGTCAGCGGTTAGACAGGTCCATGAGATTTAAGTCGCTCTTTCTTTTTTGCTAAGGTAAGCTCCAAAAGCCTTATTGTGTTGGATTAGAAAGAGTTTACTTCTGTAAATCAGCCTCTACAAAAACTTTTTGCAACCAGGTGTATTCAAATAACTACATAAATACATGTGCTTACCTGGGGTTATTATTCCATTATGAATGAATGCTCAGAACCATGAATTTAGAGCAGTGGTCTTTGAATCATTGCTTAAAAAGGAAACCCTGATGGTGTAGTGGTTAAGAGCTACAGCTGTTAACCAAAAGGTCAGCAGTTCGAACCCACAAGGCATTCCTTAGAAACCCTGTGGGGCAGTTCTACCCTGTCCTATAGGGTCGCTGAGTCGGAATTGACTCAACAGCTACGGTTTTTTTAAGGTAGTATTACTTTTTAATCTCTCATACATAAGCGTGAATATGGATTCTATAGGTATATGTCAAACATGGATGGTATAGATATGTATTAAATAGTCAAGAGAACTCAATTTGTCAACAAAAACAGATAAAAAATAATTTGAGATGTGGAAAAGTTTTTGCATTTTAATAATCTAATACACGTTATAATGATAATGCCTTTGCTAATAGGATACTAGAGGTGCAACCAAAAAAAATTTTATTTCATTTATTAAAATAGATTTTATCATGTATATATATTTATTCACATATCTCCAATAATACATATATCTTCATGACATAGATGTCATATGTATTCATGTCTATTCATACATATCCATTTGTATATACATACATACATATCTTAAAGAGATCTATTTATTCCCTCAAAGGTAAAGAAATACGTTATACTATTTAATTAGCACATTATTTACCCTCTATAGATAAAATGAACTTACATATTTGAACTGTAAAGGATTTGACCTCATTATTTCGGTAAGTGGCATGACGTAGCAGAAAGAGTACAAGCTTCAACATCAAAGAAAGAGGGAGAACCCGGCTCTGCCGCTCATTTGCCGGCTTTATTCCCAGGCCTGGGTGGGATTTCCAGTTTTCACTCTGTCTCCAACTTCCAGTCTTCCGTGCACCAGCTGATATATCTGGTCTTATATCATCTTGTTTTTTGTGTTGGTTTTTTCCGCTTGGCAATAGGAATAATTTTTGGCCCGCCTCTTTAGTGAGTTAGAATGTAGGGCATCTTTTTATTAATCCTTTGAGAGATCATGTTTAAATTTTAAAAAAACATGCTAACCTGGATTTCTCTTATTTTTGAACTCAGAATTTAATCACCCGTACATGATATAAGAGCTCAAACTCAGTTTTACTCCTCGTTCATTCCTTTATCTTTGTCAGTATAATTTCTGTTTAGAATTTGAGTTATTATTAAGCTCTTACTTGTTTGAAGTCTGTGTCTTTTTGCATCGTAAGAACGATTTCAACTCTCTGTTCAAACAGTCTTGCTCATGCAGTGTGTTATCTTCAGCTACGTGGGTCTTTACCTGCTTTCTCAGGACGGTGTTTTCATTACATTCTTGTGCAGTATTCTCTCCCATATTTCCTATGTTAAGTTTTCGTATTTACCCATTCTTACGAGGTCTGTCCAGCCTCAGCGTGTACTATTAGGCAGGATAGGGTTTTTTCCTTGACTGCTATCTGTATGGAGCGGTTGGGTGGAAAGCTGGAGGGCAGGGTGAGACTCCTTGTTCCCAGCTTTGTTTCCCATCAAGCTGACATTCATCTTAAATGGTTCTGCCTAAGATGGAATTATCACTATCCCTCCATCATGGAAGGGATGGAATTAATGAACAAATTAAGTGCCCATTGTTATGTAGTTCATCATTTTCAAGAGTTCTTCCAGTCTCCGCCCCTTCCCATTGTCCCCCTGAAGCATATTTCCCACAATACAGCACAGCAGCACCTACAGCCCCACCCTCTTCACGCCCCTTTGCTCTCTGGGAACCTCTCATCTGACTGATGGAGAGCACCTGCTCGCTGAGGAAAGCGGCACCGAGCAGCCAGACACAGTGAGGGGGGCCTGCGAGTGTCTTCCTGCTCTCGCTCCAGTCAGTGGGGCCGGTTTCATTTGGTAATATAGAGAATGTATAGGCCCCTGTTTTTTAAAAGAATGTATTGAGTACTTCATTTACAGTGGTCATAACTGAACATGAAAGCCGAGTCCATCCTGGGCTCCGGGATAAGAAGTATAAAATAGGGTCTAGGAACTCAGAGCACTTACATTCTGGATGAATTATGAATGAAATACACCTAAACAAGAGAGCTCATACTAAGTGCTAAGTAATTGCTGTAAACAGCCAGTGCCGCAGGAGCTAAACAGAGGGGAGGCGTTAAGAATGTGTTTGCCTGGGAGAGGACAGCGCAGAGCTTGACGGATCTCTGCCAGCTGCATACGTATGTGTTCAGTGGCCAAAAGTATTGTAGCTGAGCTGGAGCAGAGAATAATGAGAGAAAATTCCAGAGCGAGAGGTAAGAGCCGGATTGTTAAACCCTAAACTTACGTTTTCAGGAGCCCTGCTGGCACAGTGGTTAAGAGCTACTACAGGGTTAAGGTGGTAGTTAAGAGATATGGCAGTTAGCCAAAAGGTCGGCAGTTCGAATCCACGAGGCGCTCCTTGGAAACCCTGTTGGGCAGTTATACTCTGTCCTATAGGGTCACTGAGTCGGAATTGACTCAACGGCTGCGGTTTTTTTAATGTAGTATTACTTTTTAATCTCTCATACATAAGCGTAAATATGGATTCTATAGGTATATGTTAAATATGGATGGTATAGACATGTATTAAATAGTCAAGAGAACTCAATTTGTCAACAAAAACAGATAAAAAATAATTTGAGATGTTGAAATGTTTTTGCATTTTAATAATTTAATACATGTTATAATGATAGTGCCTTTGCTAATAGGATACTACCCAAAAGATCTGTGGTTCGAACCCGCAAGCCGTTCCGCAGGAGAGAGACCTGGCGGTCTGCTTCTGTGAAGATTACCGCCTAGGAAACACTATGGGGCAGCTCTACTCTGTCCTATAAGATCACTTGGAGTCGGAATCAACTCGATGGCAATGGGTTTGGTGGCACAGTGGTTAAGCACTTGGCTGCTAACTAGAAGCTGGTAGTTCGAACCCATGCAGTGGCTCCAAGGGAGAAGAGACACGGTGATCTGCTCCCATAAAGATTGCAGCATAGAAAATTCTATGTCGCAGTTCTCTTCCGTCACGTGGGGTCGCCATGAGTGGGAGTCATCTCCACAACACACAAAAGCCACGTACTGTTGAAGGAGATGGGAATGTAAAGTGGAGTTTGAGGAAAATTAAACCGAATCAGAACTGAAATAGTCTAAAGCTTGGAAGAGCTGCTGAGAGAGTATTATAGGAACCTAGACACAAGTCAGTCTGTTGGTTCTTTTGGTAAGTCGTCCTGAGCCTGTGCTGTGTGTCCACAGTCTGTTTGGCACTGAAGCTACAGAGGCAGTGAAGGATTGTGGCTTCTGACTTTGAAAAGACAGCAGTATAGTCAGAAAGATAGACGTGTATACCAGGAATTCCAGGACAACTGAAAAGTACTAAACTGGGAGAATGAACCGAGCTACTTGGAGTCCCAGGTCTAAAAGCCATTACTCATAACTAAGAGGACAGGAGAAACTTCACATAGGTGACACTAAATTGGAAATTGAAATATGTGTGAATTCACTAGAAAGTAAGCAAAGGGCATTCCAAGGAGAAGACAAGTGTACGGTGAAGATTTGGATTAGAGTAGTGGCAACCCCCCCGCCAAAAAACAAAACAAAACAAAAAACTCTTTGCCATCGAGTGGACTTCAACTCATAGCAACCCTGTAGGACAGAGTAGAACTACTGCGCAGGGTTTTCTAGGCTGTAATCCGTGGGGCAGTTCTACTCTGTCCTGTAGGGTCACTATGAGTCGGAATTGACTAGACGGCAACAGGTAATCTTTATGGAAGCAGATCGCCGATTCTTTCTCCCGCAGAGCAGCTGGTGGGTTTGAACCACTGACCTTTCCGTTAGCAGCCAAGCTTTTAACCACTGAGCCACCAGGGCTTTTTGGGTCTCACCCCAGACCATCTAAATCAGAAACCGTGGGAGTGGGGCGCAGCCATGTATGTCTGAGCAAAGCCTCAGGTGGTTCTGATGCATAAAGTCATAGCACCATTGCTCTGGCCATTGCAGATCTGATTCTGAGACAAAGATTGGCATATAGAGACATTTAGATCATAGAAGAAGGTAGGCAGTAAAGTGCCATAGGTGTAATTAACTGTAGAGACTGAGAGATTAGTCTGAAATGGTCTGGTCAAGGAGACTCCTCTACAACACGAGCTTTGAGTAAGCCCTGAGAAGAGTTGCTCAGAGGTGATTAGCTGGGCACAACAAGCCACAAAAGTAGAGTGACGTCTGGGAACAGTTGCAGATGCAGATCCCGGT